ATATATATATATATATATAAACAAATTTGTCTCATTTAGCTATTACCTAATGTGGTCATATATCTATGAGCTTTTAAGTTTGTCCCTTATCAAAACATTCTTACTGTACCACTATGGTTATCATCTCTTCACCTTCTTATGCTCTGTCGATATGAGTGATGACGTGCCTGTTGTACTTTAAGTTTAATACTGGTTTCCCCCTTTTTTTTCCCCCGTGCGAGGGGGATGGAGCGGGTGCTCTACGTTAAATGAAAGGGGGCTTTATGATTGCATGGTAATTTTAATATCCTCTTGTTCTGTGTAATCAACTAAGCGATAGACATTTTGAAACATTCTGAATGCAAACGATGTAGTTTCTTCATCTTGGAAAAGGAATTCAGGACATAGATTTTTAGAGATCTGAAGCATCAGGTAAATACAAAAGAAGCAATAAAAAGAATAAGAGTGGATTGGGTCAATACTTACTATAATTGAAGAGTATTTGAGTTTAAACGATAAAAAATGAGATGGATCTTATTTGTTTATGCATACAGTCCTATTCAGCGTTATATTCATTTAACATAACCCACGATCTGTTTCTTTTTTCTTAGTATTCTAGCTAAAGAAAGGAATTTGACACAATCTTTTTTTGAATCCCCTAATTTTCATCCTAAAGTGTAGAGAATTCCTCAGACACCTCAACTTTTCTAGATACAATGGAACATAATGATTTTGAATTCCCACCCGATCCGGTTCACCATAACTTCGAGCCCTTTCCTTCACTTCAATCCATCCCTATTAGTGTGCTGGCGCAAACCCCGGTAGATCAACTCCCGCCCACCACCGCTCCGACCAGTGGAAACTACTCCATTCGCCAAATCATGCGCAGTGCCATGTGCTTTGAGGCTAAATCCAATCTAGGGGGCTATCGCAACATTAATCTCGGCCTCGGCGGTGGGGAGAATTCGGACCGGCAGCCCTACGGCGGCCCCCCCGCCGATCCCTTCGCGCTCGGGCCGCCGTCCTCCGATGGGATAGGCGGAGTGGAAAGGGAAAGGGGCCCGCAGGAGCCGCCAAGCGAGGTGGGAAGGGAAGGAGGTATGCAAGAGATTTGGCAACGCGCCAGCCGCAGTCGCCGCTCTCGTGCGGAGTGGACGGAAGGAGAACTTCGGAATTTTTTTCACTCACTTTCGCAGTATGGGACGGATTTCGCAGCAATCTCTGTACTTTTCCCGGGGAGATCGAGAGCAGATGTAAAGCTGCTATATCGGCGTGAAATGCGTAAGCACCCCAATAGAGTTAGAGTCGCCCTTCAAAAGAAGAAAGACATTGATTTGGCCACTTTTGAAATGTTCTTGAAAGAAAAACGGGCCCGCGAGCAGCCACCGAAAAAAGTCCTTGCTTTGGAGGAAGAACAGCTCCTTCAGCAAATCGCGCAGGTTGAACCTGCTTCACAGGATCATGCCTCAGGCGGTGGGGTTATGGGGGATTATCAAAATGATTTTTTTCTGATGGAAACGCCGAGGGACACTCAGCATGAGAGCGTCACGACACGCCCATCAGCAGCTTCAAGCACGATAAATAACGACGCAGAGAGTAGCCACCCTCAGCTATCCTCCTCTGACGTCGATCATGGCGCGCCTAGGTCATTAAAACGAAAGAGAGAAGTCAATTATGGGTGTGATGAGGAGCCAACGTTGCTGGAGATGGTCCTGAAGCATCCGAAGGAGAATGAAACGATGACGTTGGCTAAGGAAGCGGATCATGAAAGATTAGATATGTTTGACTTTACTGAGAGTCCACAAAATGAATTTGATGATGCATTTTTGTTTTAACTGAACTATAGAGTTGTCCTCCGACAATGTGACTTAGTTATTTCACTTTATAATAATCTCTTTTCATCCATTCCTTCGTGTTGTGGCGAACATCTAAAAATATAAGGTGGTGAAAAGCAAAGGAGGTGTACTATTGTTTTTTTGGGTTTTGTTTTAAATCTAATGACATTTGAGCGCTTGACTTTAGTGTGTTTGCTTCTTATGTGTCATCGCGCTGTATACTGTATATAATACTGTAAAAGGTCTAAATAAACTTTTATAAACGTTTAAGTTTCCTTATAAATCAATATAAAAGAAAAAATAGAGGATCTACCTCACATTACTTAGGTATGCTTTCCATTTCCACGGTTGTTGATTTCTTTGGTGCATGTTTCCTGTCTCTGCTACCCTAACAGATAGTGATATTGAACAGTTTTCCATCATCACTGCAGCTTTTTTTTTCTTTGATTTGCGTTTAAAACCCCATATTGAGTACACAAAAAATGACTTTTTGGATTTGCAGGAGCTGTAGACATAGCTTCCCATCCGACCTACTAGAGCAGGCCTCCTTTACGGACCATGTAGGCAAACGCTTTGGTGAAATGCGAGATGTTCTTTCCGCACTCCAGGATGGCAAATCAAATATCCAACATTCGATCCATGAGGCACTCATTACCTTGGAAGATTTATGTGCAGCAGTCCACGAAGAAGTAGACATGCTTACAGAAAAGCTAAAAAAGGCCAAGATGGGGTATCCCTATGACGAAAAGAATTCCAACGATCAGTCTATGATGCATTCAGAAAGACACAAAAATACTACCAAACATTCGAAAAAGGCAACCAGTTCTACAAAGGAATTACCAGTAGCTCTGCCCACACGTAATCAATTTAATAGTAGTACTCGCAGCAACGCGAACGTGGCTGCACTGGCTAGTATAATGGCCTCCAGTAGTATACCTGAATACAACAAAAGGAAAATGTGCACCGCTTTCGAATTGGTCTCAGCGAGTGTGTATAGTATTTTAGAAAGCCTGGCAGTGCACACCCGCGTGGATGCCGCGTTTCTGTGGCTCCGTCCACGCGGCGCAATCACAAACGAGCTCGTGGCTCCTTTTGTTGTGGGGCGTGATCTCTCGAAGCTTGCCCACTCCGCGCCGTACCGTTTGACGGAGAACTCCATACCCTGTCTGGTGATGGATACAAGTATCGCGATAAACATCAAACCTATGAACGGCGTTCGTGACCAGCGACCAAACGGCAACATCCCGCTAGCGGAACTCATCGAGCGAACTAATGCCGCCCAACTTCTTATCCCGGTCTACACGCGATACTGGACCAAAGACCGGTCCGTCATCGGGGTCATACACCTGATCGGATCGCCGCGCTTTCCTTTTCCCTTCAATCGCTATAATGAAGAGGTCGCCGCCGTCGCCTCAAACCTTCTTTCGGTGGTGATCTCCTCACACTATGAGGCGATGATTCCGGAATGGGCGAACCACTTTTACGACCCAAGCATTTTACACGACACCAGTAGCTACCGGGGGGATCTTGACCTGCAGGGGGATACCAAAGGCGTGGACGACTTCGCATCCCCCGCGATGCCAATTTACCGCGAGATGAGGGAACCCAACGACGAGGCTAATCAGCGGGATGTCAGCAAAACCCTTCGGATGGCGATGATACGACGGGCCATGCCGTTGTACCTGGCCACGCACATCCGCGATTTGGACCCTCACGCCGCGGGGGAGGAGGAAAGTTGGGACACGGCGACCGAAACGACGTCGATAATGGAAAAAATCCTTCAAGTGCAGCGCGATGAAACTTCAGCTCATGATATCAGAAAAACGAGAGAAATGGGTATCAACCTATCCAGCTCCATCCAACGGAATTCTGGCAAGAATGGCCACTCAAGTAACCAAACCCTACCCTCTGGAACAATGTCAGGCAATTTAGTAGAACCCCGTACTCCTTTAGCTGATGACAATGAGTTGCATAGCATCAAAAGTCAAAACTCTAAAAACGAAGACGACGATGAAAAAGGCACGCATTTTCTTTCCATAAAGGGAAAAAATAGGCAACTACTGAAACCCGAGGAGCTCACCGAAATTGAGCTGGGAGCACTCCAACGGTTAAAATCGATGGACGTTGACACCGCACCCCTTACCGCTGCTCTGTATTAAAAGTAGTAGTAAATTGTAAAGTAACACCATAGGAATTTTTTTTGAGGGGGGAGGGGGGGGGTATGTAAATCCCCAATCATTGTCTTATCGAGCGTCCACTCATAAACACCATCATGTAATCTTTCGGATATTTTGTACCGTTTTGTTTTGTTCGTTACATTTGTTCGTTTATATTATTTAGGTAAAGAAGCATATCCAGAGTGTTGTTATTGTTTCTTGTGTTATACTATTAGAAATACTTTATTTAGCCCTTTTGAATTTATATATTTTCGTGTAAAAATGTTTTCATCGCTGTATTCTTGTATATGCATATATATATATATTATGAATATGTGCGTTCATATTTTTTGTTTATCTATAGAAAGCTAAACATTGCTATCAAATATATTTTCTATAACTATATTCTTTAAAGGTTAAATATAATTTAATTTAGTCATTTTCTCATATCCGAGGCAAGATGCACACAAATATCGTCGTCCCCTCAAGCCGCTCTTCCTCAAAAATCATTCGAAACTTCATAGTCTCTATTATATGTATCGCCATCATTTATTCATGCGGTGTAATCTCTACTATTCGAACCTCTCAAAAAACTAACAATTTTTTTCTTTATCTATCCTTTTTCGGCTACGCTGTGTTTTGCGGCATGTGGATCTACACAAACTTGTTCTTGAGGAAGAGAAACCATCGATGGAGTCATACAAACAAAAGATTCATTTACTCTGCAACCATTTGCTCTGTTTTCTCAAGTGTTCTATGGATCATTGGCATGTGGCCCGAATACCATTGGTTGACATTACCACTATTCTTGGTCATTGTGATCATGGTAGTTCATATAGTAGGAATATCTCATGGGATGAGTAAAAAGGTTTCTTAGTGTATTTAAAAGCGCTAAGAAATCAAGGTGATAAAAATGGAAGCGACATGTTTTAAAAAAAAAATTATAAATGTATACATTTGTGGGGGGGTATATAATCCTATCTATATGTTGATGACTTGCGGAAGATGGGAAATGAGAACTTAATCTTCGATAGATTGTATGTTTTTTCTTCCATTCTACGGAATCAGTTGCCGTTAGGTGTATTTTTAACACGGTCTTGACTTTTTTCTGCATGTCATTGCCGTGTGTATCCTTTATCAAATTCCTTTTTATCTGCCTATTGGTGACCATGTTCCTGTCAATTCATTTGTCTTTGTTTTTATGTAAGATCTTAGAAAAATACACTATAGGTACAACTAAACCAATCTAAACCGATTAACCCATGAAAGGCATTGTGGGCTCTACTCAAGGAAGTACAAAATATCGTGGCGGCAGAGGGCGCGGTAGTGCTCAGGTTGGTAAATCGGGTAATAGGGACAAGCGTTTTGACTCTCGTTTTACTGACCCTCGATTTAAACTATCAAGTAAGCTCCAAAAGAAGCATAAACAGCGAAGTAGCCCTCGGGAAAAGCTTGAGGATGCCGCTGGTCGTGATCCGCGATTCGCCAAAAAATTTCATCCATCGAACGAGACACCCAGTGAGGACGAGGAGGATAATTTGACCGAGAGTGAGGGGGAGGATATTTCAACACAACCCAACCTCGTTGTCGACGAAGATGATTCCGATGCGAGTGCTTCCGATGAAATGGAGGACAAAATGGAGGACGTGTGCGAGTGGGCCCCTGAAGACGTGGAACTCACAGAAGCAACTCAGCGCCTCGCGGTGGTTAACTGTGATTGGGATCACGTCCGCTCGGTAGATCTCTACGCTATTCTTTTTGACGCCCTTCCATTGGGTGGTCAACTGAAGGAGGTGTGCGTCTACATGAGCGAGTTTGGTAAAAAAATGATTGAACATGAGCGCGTGCATGGACCAGACTTGTGGGTAAAGGAAGGTGAAGAGGATACACCGGAAGACAAGGACTTATCCCATGATGGAATCGAGTCTGTGCGTAAGTTCGATAGTTATATGGAGGATGGTGACCAAGCAAGTAGTGAGAATAGTGATGGTGATGATGAGGAGGTAGAAACCGGCTGGGTTTACGACGACCCCAGCATGCTTACGGAACGTGGTGAGGATGGGGAATACTTCTCGAGCGGAAAGTATCGTCAGTATGAGATGAACCGCATGAAGTACTACTACGCCATAGCCACCTTCGACTCTTCCGAAACGGCGGCTGCGGTCTATCGTGAGCTGGATGGCACCGATATTGAATCTAGCGGCGTCGTCCTGGACCTGCGCTACGTGGACAATGAGGAGACTTTCGAGGACCTGGTGAGCCGCGCCGACGGCATCCCACCAAACTTCAGGCCGTTATCCTCCTTCAAAACGGCCGCGCTAAGCCAGGCGCGTTTCCGGATTTCCTGGGATCAAGACGACCTTTTTCGCCACCGTTCGGTACAGGATGCCTTTACCGGGACCACCGCCGAGGACGACCTGGCGGCCTACCTTGCCCCACCCGACTCAGACGACGATGAGAAAGACGCCCGCACGGGCCGCACGAAGGCGGAGGAAAAATTGAGACTTCAGCACAAGTACGCGACATTATTGGCGGAAATCGGCAAAGTACCCGGTCAACTTGACGAAGATGACGCCAAAGAGGAAAACGAAACCCGGGAAACGTTGAACCCACCTAGTCTCGATACCAACACGGATGGCGATACCACGGATGACGATTCCCTCAATCGATTTAGCGATGTCAATCTTGACGATGACGCCGAGAGCGAGTCCAATGATGGCGAAAGTGAAATCATGGGTGACATGGAAGCAAAGCTCGACCTTGATGCCGATAGCAAAGCAGTCGGTCTCCAGCGTGAGGCTCGAGTACGGAAAATGATGAAGGAAAGCAGCCTCGGTGCACAGGCGGAACTCAAATATAAACTACGGCGTAAGGAGATGAAGAAGACCAAGAAGGAGGAATTGTTGCAGGAACGCGAAAGGAAGGTAGAGGCATCATTGGCAAAGAAGAAGGAACAAACGGAGAAACTTAAGGCGTTGATCGGGACCGACGACAACGGCGCGGTCCGCCTCAGCGGCAAAGAGCGTCGTAAGCGCCATGTAAAGGAAGTAAAGGAAACCCTTGCAAAGGAGCGAGCCGAAAAGAAGCAGAGTCGAATTGCGAGCCAGATGGGTATCACATGGGAGGCCAGAGCCAGGCTCGATACGCAGGAAGCAGACCAGGCCAAGAGCGCGATTGATTCCCGCTTTAAGTCAAAGCTGCTCTCGGACCCCCGATATCACCTGGAGATAACGCAAAAGGACAAGCGCATCTCAAAAGATGTCGCACAACTCGCGGCGACGGTGGCAAAGGCGCGCCGCGTAAAGCGTGTCCCTGAAGACCGTGAAGACAAAACAGGCGGTGAAGAGGATGCCAACCCCTTGGATTCGGCTGTTGACTACTTTTTAGAACCACCTCGGCGCAAAAAGAAAAAGCAGTCGTCAATATAATATTCTTTATTGGATATTTACCTTACGGTTACTCATCTAGTTAATTAGCTGGATTTTAAAATTTAAATAAAACGGTTAAAAGCGTATTAATTAATGAGCTCTGACAAAAATCGCTCGTTTTACGATCCGATTTCTGCATGATAAGGAGTAAAATAAATATGTGGTTGGAAGTAGAGTTGAGTTTTGCAGCATTCATAAAAATATCAGATTACTCTTTCCTCTACTTGTTATTTGTCAATGAGTTACCATTTATACAATATATTTTTCAAGACACACGGAATGGTAAGATTTACACCCTACACATATTTTGTTCACAGAAAAATGGCAACCTAATAAAGTATTAGTGAAAATTAATCAGCTTCAGAAAACAGTGCTGCAAGTTTAACATCAATAAATTTCGGTTGAACTCTTCCAAGGCAGCATCATCGACACTGCGTAGAATTCCATAATAACAGCAATGGTACAGTATCTAGCCGCTGATATTCCAAGGAAGGAGAGAAGATTTATATGGCATGTTGAAAGCCAACAACAACAATATGGATCTTAATGAACCCAAGAAGCATGGTATTTTAGAACAGATTTCATTAGCTGTCTATTGAAATGCAGCGTAGTTGTGCTGCTGAAAAGGCCCACGTTGAATTTCACAGAGCATAATTCAAAATGAAAAACATGTTCGTCAGCCAATTTAGTCCTGTAGCTGAGTCTAGTGTTCACAAAGCCATGTCATAGTCCTTCCTAGCTCGTGGACATATTTTTTCATCCACATTTCGATTTAAAAGTCGTTGTAAGGGTTTAAAACATTGGGTATAAAGTATTAACGAAGCGGCGGACTGTGCAGAGGTGTAGATGTTTAAACACCAGATTACAAAGGCAGGACCCCTGAGCTTAGGTTAGCTAGTTATCTTGAAGGAGTTTGAGATGCGAGAAGTGGACAAATTGGGCGTTTTCAATTATGCATGTTACAACGGTCTGTTGGTATGAATTTTCCCATCCTGTTCACGATATCACCAATTCTACCGTCTGAAATGATCACAGAAATCATAGGTCAGTTTCACATTTCGGTCATCGCAAAGATGTGTGAAGACGACACTTTCGGCGCGCTGAGGGGGGAACGGCTTGGGGGTATAATCATTGTAACGATCAGCGGACTTGTCACTCAAGATGACAAATCTTCATCGTAAATTTTTTTTCCATCTACGCAAAAGTGATGCCACACTAGGAAAGTTTCAGACACCAATATTGATGTCATCTATAATCGTGTATAATGAGCATCTTACCTTTGAGTCATATCAAAGAGTGGATAGTAACAATTAGCGCAATATGCTATCTTTTTGTTCTTAATATACAGTACAAGCGGTTAAATAACTGGCTGATAGAGATGAAAGATGAAAAAATTATCATACAAACACATTTTCCTTATACTAAAAAGAAGTTTTATTAAACAAAAAATATAGGAATATTTTGTTGCGCAGTTACAACGAACTATAGTCACAGCACTATCACAATATATAATTTGTCTTCTGCGCAATATAGTCTAGATATAATACTATATCTTTATATAGATAACCGAAGAAATTATAACGCATCTATTTCATACTTCAATACTCGTATCGGTATTAAAAAATAAAAATATTTAGAAGTGTGATGTCCGCTTTCAACAGAAATCAAATAAGAATCGACAAGTATCAAGCTCAGTTTGTGGCTGTGTCCGCGAGCTCTATTAATGAAGACCGTCTCAACGATGGGGGGCGCGTGCTTCTACCCCCAGTAGCACTGCAAAAGATTTCAAGTCTTTCCATGGTCTATCCTCTCCAGTTTATGATCACAGCCCATCGACAAAAGCCTTTGTTTGCAGCTGTTCTGGAATTCAACGCAGAGATGGGCAGCATCGTCCTACCTGACTGGATGTTCCAGCAACTCAAGCTGAGGCCTGGTGCCATGGTACGTGTTGAAACCTGCAATTTAGAAGAGGGGAATCTTGTCAAGCTGCAACCGCACAAAAAAGCTTTTGTGATGCTACAGGATCCGAGGCGTGTATTAGAGATGCGTATCAACAAGTATCCTATTTTGACAAAAGGCTCTACAATTGTTATTCATTACGCCAAGCAGGATTTTCTTATAAACGTGGTCGACTTGCTCAACCCTGTCGGGAAGCCAGTCGAGGCGGTACTAACCGCACGAGCAGACGCGGGTGCGACGGAATTGAAGGTCGAATTTGAGCGACCACTAGATATGCCCGACTCACCAACGGAGGCCTCTTCCTCGACTGCATTTCCAACCGGCAATAACGTCATTGGCGCGAGCCAAGGCAACAACGTTGTGCAGTTCAAACCCTTTGAGTATAAGCCTCCGTCGCTAAATCCATCGTCGCAGGCCCAGCAGCTGGAACCATCCTCAAAGCAGGATGCCAATAGCACTGCAAAAGAAAAAGGTAGCGGTGAAGGTAACCCCACTTTTGTACCTTTTTCAGGTACCGGGAACGCGCTGTGTTCTGGAAACGAACCAACATCCGATTTGGCAGCGGTTCCAGACACTAACGAACTCTCAAGGATGCGAGAAAAGAGACTACAAGCGCTTCTAGGCCGAAAGTAACTGATGTTTTATAGGTTATGGATGATACGCTTTTTGAGTTCTGCCTCTGCTGTCTAAGGGGTGTTACTGATGGCTATTTATCCTTCCTATGCATGCGACTTCCATTTTGTCATTTATTTACTTGTCGGGATGTCACTGGAGTTTATTGTGTGACGTTTCACTGTGATCCTTAGCAGAGAATATACTATTTAAAGAATTGATTTGGCAATATTTTTTAGGGAAGCACTGCATAACAAAAAAAATGATTTGCGTGTCTGTTTCTGAACTAGCCTTTCTATCCCGTTTAGGGTAAAAAGACTCATCTTGCTCTCTATCGCATATTGCTTGTTTGCTCTTAGTATTTAATATCTTCCAATACATAAAGTGATACCTGGTTAAGCTCAGAGGCTAGACAGTTGAACCCCTTACTTTACCAATGGATTTAGATGTGGAAATTTATCATACTCGCAGTTCGGATTTTGGCTCAGTTAAGTGAGTCTACCCTCCAAGCAACCGATTCTTGGTATGTAATGCGGTGACGAATATTCGTGTGAGTATCTCAACAACATTTGTATATCTATACTCAGAATAGTGATAACATATGTACGTGATCGCTACGGCGACCTCAGAATCGTCAAGGAGCCCTTATTCCCGGTGAAGCGATGTAATTCCTCAGTCTTTTACAGTCGCTCGACTGTTAAATGAGCTTCCCATTCAAGACAGTTCTGCCTTTATAAGTGATATAATCACAGAGCTGTTTACATCAATGCCGTGTATTGCTGAATTAAGTCACAATACTCTTTTCAATCCAGCTATTGATCTATAATCCATTTCGAGGTTCTGAGATAACCAATCAATAAAAACTCTCCTGAATCCTATCGTGAGCTCGCATTTTATTTGAAAGTAGATGGGATAAATAGCATGTGAGGTTTTCGTAACTGGAGGCTGTCAGGGTTACAACCGTTGATATGATTTCATCTTACAGCTTTATGACATTGCCACCTACTATACAACAACCAACAACCTTGACAATAAGCTAGAAAAGGTCCTAGGGGATGCTGAAGCGGTGAACCTAACGCATTTTTTACTATTTATTTATCTATGACCCTAACATTGAATTCGATTACATACAAGGCCCCATGGCGCATAAACTCGCGAATAAAATTGTGAGTAACATATACGATTACCGCACACACGATACCGTGCTGCTACCACTTGGTGTCACGCTTGGTGATAACTCTGAAGAAACTATGGACTTTCCTTTTGCGCAAACCTACATCATTGAACTATTACAGAAAATGAACAAGAAAACGTTTTATCCCTGTGTTTTACGTGGTTTCCCACAGATAAATAAAACGGGACAAGACGGTAAATTTTCATCCCCTTGGACCATCATCCAATGGTACTGTACAGCGAACACTAACAACGCGTATGTAGCTACTGATAATATCGGCCCGTTTGAAGACGTTGTTCGGTGCATCAACTCCACGAAGCCAACTACTCAACATGGCCTTTGCGTCATCAGGGAAAGTCTGTACAAAAAAAAATGTCCTGCTTCTGTGAAGGATAAATTTCCTCTTTTTCCGTACTGCAAACATCACCGCACCGTATGTCCAGGAAAGACGTGTACTTAAGGGGTTCCATCTCGGTGCTGCCAATCTGAACTCGTGAAGTGAGGCAATAACAAGGTTACCAAAAAAGTGAAGTCCTGGGAGATGTCAAAAGTTATCACGGTCTCACCTTTTGGTTTTTTTCAAGTGTAGTAACTCCTCAGAACTCGAAAGTTAATTGGAGAAGGTTTGGTATTTTTTCACCCTTTTCAGGCGATCTTTCTCCTCTATCCATCCGATTATGTTTATCATTAGAAACTGTAAATGTACATGTGTGCATTGCTTAATATTGAATATTATTCGGTGAGAATATCACCTACGGTAACTAATCAAATTCTGATCCATTACTCTGTGAGGAAGCATCAAAATAACAATAAGTGATAATCCAAATTCAGACAATTTACTTTAAACCACATACCACTAGTATATAATTCAAAATAATTACAACTAATTTATTCAATGCATATATTATAAACATACTCATAATAATTCAACTATAAAGTAACTATTTTGATTTTTTATTGTTGTTTGTAGCCTTTCCCTGAACAACAGTCCAAATCATAAAAACATGCTTATTTTTAGTAAATATTTTTGACATTATTTGGGGAGTAAGTACCAAAGAGTTAAAATCAAAAATATCGACGCCCAGGGGTGACCTGAGAAGTCTATCTGCTATTGATCACCTCGCCTCACACATAAAGTTGTTGAATCAATAGTAGATTGTAATAATTTGTGGAATTTTATTCAAAAATCGTGAAGGAATAAATAGAAGCGATACCCAGCCATAAGTTTGATTTTACCCTTTCCTTCTGATTATTCATACACAAAAGCTAGGGGGATCGACCACTTAAAATATATTCGGTTCAAAATGAAAAAAGACAGATAAGCTTCGCTTTAATGCATAGAACAGTGTATTCCTTTCCTCTGTATATTCTAACATTGATTGTGTCTCTTAAAATAAATGTCGTTTGCCTTTTCCCTCATGTGTCTTGTTCAGAGAAAACAAGAAAAATATTTTTACAGATATTGATCTTCGCTATATTTTATTTGTGGATGGCCTCCTTTTCCATTGATGGTGAGGTAGAACAACGATACCTAATTCAACGGCATATTGGAAGTGGTGCCTACGGTGTGGTTTGGTGCGCATTGGACCGCTTTACAGGGAATCAAGTGGCTTTGAAGAAAGTCTTTGATGCCTTTCGAAACCATGAAGACGCACAGCGTACGTACCGCGAAATTATGCTTCTGGAGACCCTAAAAGAAAACAAACGTGTAGTTCATTTGTTAAATGTAATTCAAGCAAACAACAACTCGGATCTTTACCTAGTGTTCGAGTTAGCAGAAACTGACCTCTGTGTGGTGCTGCAAAAGCGTATCCTCCAGGATATCCATCGTAAGTATATTATATATCAAATCGTTCTGGTTGTAGCTCAGCTTCATGCCATGCAGATTATTCACCGTGATCTGAAGCCTGCCAATGTCTTCATCAACGCAGACTGTTCGATCAAATTGGGCGACTTCGGTCTGGCGCGTAGTTTTTTAGATGAGAACGACACCAAAGGTGAGGTTTTGCATCTTACTGAGTACATTGCGACGCGTTGGTACCGATCCCCTGAGGTATTAGTAAAGTCACCGTACTACACAACTGCGATGGATATGTGGGCAGTTGGGTGTGTAATTGCGGAATTGTTCCTTGGTGAGCCGCTCTTCTGCGGGCGCTCCACACACGACCAGCTTATCCTCATAATTAGCTCCCTGGGTGAACCAACCAGCGCAGATGTGAACAGCCTAGGGTCATCCGATTCGTGGGCGATGATGGACTACCTTCCCGAGGAGATTCATAGTGCGCCACTACGAGATATTTTGTCATCTCTAGACGCCGATGTCATAGACCTCGTGTCCAGGCTCGTAATTTTTAACCCACAAAAGAGATTAACAGCGTTGGAGGCACTCCGGCACCCATATCTAGCTGAGTTCGTGACTCCCGATGACATCACCTTGCTAACGAAGCTACCCGCAATAAAACTTCCTTTACCAGATGAAAAGCGATGCAGTGTGGACGAGTATAAGGAAAACGTGTACGAACGTGTTCGGAAGAACTACCGGCATAGGGAACAGATGCAATACCTATAGTTATTCAAGAGAGTGCGGGAGGGTGCATGGACTACGGCTTGGATTGTGCTCGCACTCTTCAACTCTAGTTATTCCTTTCCTCATTATGGTCGTCGCTATGATTAGTAAAAGATAGTTTTCTCTTATTTTAGCTGATGCCCCTCTTGCATGTGTGTGTGTATAGGATTTTGCTGCTTCATTTGGTGAATGTCTAGCATGAGAATTGAGTCCGGCTGGCGGGTCCACTGCAGTAAAGTTTCGTACTCCTCGATATTTTTCCCATAGTCCGATGTAACACTTGCACGCGTAAGGAAGTCAAAAAAAAATGTTCTTTCAATCTTTGTGAATCAATTTATTTATTTGTGAATTCCTTTGCACGCTTTTTTTTTTACAATGTTTATGTCACGCATACTTTAGAAGCAGTTGAATACGTATTGATCCCTAATCACGGTTTATGACTCCACTTGGTTCTGACAGTGCACTAACCGCACACCAAATTCAAACCGCCTGCTCACACATCCATCCTCACCTTTCTGTCATTCACTCATTTTCATTTGTTTTTCTTCATCTTAATTTTTCCTTTTACTGAAAAACAATGCTTACAAAAAGGAAGGCGTTATCAATCATCGTTGGTTTACATGGGTCAGGGACTTGGCGGAGGTACGCTTTTCGCTTCTGCTCTTTCCCTAGCGGCTTATCCAGCTCACCTTGCATTGGCCAATCATATCCTCATTGTCGCCACCGGTGCCGGTCTGGGACTTGCTGTGGATTTTACAGCGGATTGCCTCGCTAAAGAAGGAAAGATTGTGATTCACCGCGACGTTGTCCTTGGTGCAAATGATATTTTGAAGCATGTATACACCTTTATAGCGCCCTGTCACTCAAATCACGTCGCGAAGTTGATTCATCAAAGGCACGAATGGCTGGTGCTGGAGTCGCACTCAAGAAAATTTTACACGGTGCAGAAATCTCCCGAAAACGGTAATGTAATGATGGATGTGCGCAACTCACTACGTTCCGCGAATGACATAGGGCTTGTTGTCGCGGGAAGGCCAACTCTAAGTGGAGAAATACGGCAACATCGGAAAGATATGGAATTTGACATCCCCTTCGACGTGCCGGTTGCTTATATGATTGCTTGGCTGCGCAAAGAAGACCCCCGTTGGGCATTCTCTACTGAAAATAGCCGCCAGTTTGTGACCAGGGCTAGATTAGCTCTGAATGATTACTAAAAGGGGAAAAAAAGGTGTTGACGAATATTGAATGCAGTGGTAAAGAAAAACTGCTCTTATGAGTATGTGGAATGGGCTTCACAGAATTGTATCGATTCGAAAAGTGTATAGCGTATTCCAGTTGATGGTGTGTGCATTGCGATAACTCTCAACAAAAATATAACTCATGTTTGACATAAAAGGCCATATGTATTTCCCCTTGATATTACGATAAATATTATTCCACTTTTTTATTTATTTATTCATATATTTATATACTTCAAGAGGGAAAAGGTACATTTAAATTTTCCCCATTTCTCGTCTGTAGAGGCGTGAATCTTAGGTTAATATTGTGCGATTTGTGACATTATAAACTCAGCCTTACGAACAATGATGGTAGATGTCGGAAGAATAGCGCAACGCATCGATCTTGTTGGTAGTTCTTCCGGCTCTATTGTCAGTTTAGCCACATGGTGTGCACTACACGCTTATGACTTTGACACCATTATGGGTTGTATTGGAGACAAGCTGAAGGCTGACGTGACGTCTGACACCACACGTGCATCACTTCTCTACGTATTGCACGAAGTCCTCCTCACGTGCGCGACTCGTGGAGTTTCACAGGAGTCACAACGCACCGTCTTGACGGCAGTCAGTAGGAAGCTTCCCAACTATGTTGAGTGGGTCCTCCAGAAGCCTCAAGTGGAGGCCCACAGGTCTTTCATTGCCGGACTTGGCAAGGTTCTGGTCTGGTGGGACTTGTTGAATATGTTCCCACAAGCATGGATTCAGAGCCTCCGACAAAAACAACAACAGGCAGAGTCGCCGAGCCAGACACCCAATGGTGTCAGCCCCGCCTCCACTTCTATGCTGTCCTCGTTGCAACATGTGGTTCAGCTTATGAACCGTTATGAGGATGCTAAACAGCAATGGAAGACGTGCCGGCTCGCGGCGAATAACTCGGGGGGGGATAATGTCAACGATGTTACCACCACGGAGGGTCACACGCGGCGGGCTCTCATTACGCTGCGCGAAGCGGTTGAAAGTCACTCGGTGGATGGCGCTTCACTCTCTCAGTGGTGCGACCAGCAATGGAGAGAATTGGAAGGTCAAGACATGGAGGTGGCGAAGGTAGATAATGGCGCTAGTTGGATGATGAAGACTGAAGTGAAGTCAGAGGCAAAAATGTCACCAGAAGAGGATATATTAGGCTCCTTTTACTAAAAAAGTGATATTACAAGCACATAAGCTGAAGGTTACTCAGTGGTTTTAAGAAATGACAAAATAAAATAAAATTTATAGCAATCCCTCGGGAAAAGATTAATATGTGTTATGTATCGTTCGCACTTCTAATCATGGTTGTTTGTTTATCAAGATGTTTAATAACCACCCCAAGAGAGGGAATAGTACATTTGTATATATATATATATTTATTTATTTATATATATATATATATATATATCATAATTTACTCATAAGTGACCAAAACGTAGCTTCTGCGTTGTCACCTTCACTAATAAAAAAGATACTTTTAGTTTAGACTCCAACAACGTGATATTGTTTGAATAGCAAAAAGAAAGGCGTGAGGAAGGAAGTTCATAAAAAGGAGTAATGTTCGGCCAACAAAAACAACCTGATCAGTATGCTTATCAGCAATACAACTCTAACAGTACGGCGGGGTGCGCTACCACCTATGCGTACAATAATACCCAACCTCAAAACTTCAATGCCCAATCATACTCATACCAACAGCAATCTGACTTTTCCAGCACAGCACAAAATACCCAGGAACCCCATTCATACCACCAGAATTCAGATTACCAAACAACCCAAACTCCCTCGGTTGTTCCCTCTGCGCGCTGGTCATGGTCACTCTACCCTACCAACCGATTAGATGGGCTTCGAATGGTGGTGCCACTTGGTTGTATGTACACTCCTTTGGATAATCCTTGTCCAGAGCTCTACTTTAAACCGGTCATATGCACGGTTTGTAATGCGGTTTTAAATCCATACTCTGGGCTAGATCTTGCCACGCGAACTTGGAGTTGCCCAATGTGCCTCACCAAGAATAACTTACCACCGATGTATGCCCATGGTGATGAGCCCCATAATTGGGTTGAGCTAGTGCAAAGAAATGCAACCGTAGAGTATGTCAATCAGGAACCGCGGCGACACCCTCCAACCTTCGCCTTTGCGGTTGACACTTGTCTGGATACTCAGGAGGAGGTCGAGGGGCTTAAAGAGTTTCTGCGTCTGGTACTGGAAAAGATACCAGAAAATGCCAATGTGTGCTTGGTCACTTATGGTGCTGCAGTTCAACTGCACGAGATCACAGGTGCAACACAATACCCACGCAGTATTGTGTTTCGAGGATCACAGGAAATATCCCCCGCCTTTCTTGAAAAGTCCTTAGTATTTACCGATCGCTATGTTGCGCCGCTCTCGACATGCGCTGCGGTCTTCACCTCGCTTATCGATAACTTATCCTGCGACCTCTGGCCTGTGGCGAAGGCACAGCGGGCCTTGCGCTGCACCGGAGCGGCCATCTCTGCCGTGGCGAGTCTTCTCAAACTCACTTCGTCCGGGATTGGATCCTGTATATTAACGTTTATGTCAGGCGTGTGTACTGTGGGCCCCGGCATTGTGGTCGATACGAGCCGCGAACACACAATTCGAGGTCATAAAGACATCCGTGATGGGACCAATGCGGCGAAGCACTGGACGGAATCCTGCGCCTTTTACGACAAACTTATGCAACGAATCGTTGAGCAAGGCCACGCTCTCAACTGTTTCGCGGCAAGCCTGGATCAGCTTGGCATCGCTGAGATGAAGCAGTGTATTCAAGCTTCCGGCGGTGTTGTGTTAAATTCGGAATCGTGGCGACAGAAACCGTTTCGAGTTTCTCTCAACCATTTCTTCTCGCGAAAAGCATCAAATGACGCACTCCTAATGCGACTCAACGCGACTTTCGACGTTATTACGTCTCCGAGTTGGAAAGTGCTGGGGGTTATTGGACAGTGTATAGGAACCGGAAAGAAATCAGCGTCAGTGGGGGACCATGAGATCGGGATGGGTGGCACGTGCCAGTGGACGACTTGTATGCTAGACTCCCATAGCACCTTTGCTGTTTACTTCGACACCAGTCCAAGTCAGACTAACGCGGCTCAAAAACCATTCCGGTACGTACAGTTCATCACGCGCTATGAACAGGGTAATCAAATCCGCACACGCGTGACGACGCTCGCTCATAAGCAGCAGCAAAATCCACCAATCCAAGACATTGTGGCGGCGTTTGATCAAGAAGCCGCTGCAGTGCTTATTGCCCGTCAAGCAATTCACAATACTGACAGCATGCCCCTTTTCGATGTTTTGCGTTGGCTGGATCGAACCTTGGTACGTCTGGTTAGTCGTTTTGGAAACTACACAAAAAATCAGCCAAGCACTTTACGTTTACCAGCAGAATTTGTTTATTTTCCTGCCTTTATCTATCATCTGCGTCGGTCTGGTTATCTTCAAGTATTCAACTCAAGTCCAGACGAAAGCTCAATTTTGTGGCTGCAGCTCTTAAAGTCCTCTACCACCGATTCGATTGTGCAGATTCAGCCGACGCTGTATAGCTACCGCATGGACGCGCCCCCGCAATCGGTCCCACTCGACAGCACCGCCATTCAGCGCGATAACATACTTTTGTTGGACACTTTCTTTGAAGTGTTGGTGCACCACGGGTCGACGGTTGTAGATTGGGAACGTGCTGGCTATGCCAATATGCAGGAGTATGCCTACTTCCGTGAATTCTTAGATATCGCGTTAGCAGATGCTAAAATGCTTGTAGACAGCCGTTATCCTACACCGAGGCTCATAGTTGTCTGCCAAGATGATCCTGATTCGCGTATATTGTTCAACCGCATCAATCCTAGTCACTCGTACTCGTCTGCTGAAAAGAATAAGTACGGATCGCAAGAGGGTGAACTGGTGTACACTGATGACGCGTCGCTTCAAATATTTATGGAGCATTTGAAAAAGCTCGCGGTATCGTCGTAGAGGAGTATCATTCTTTCTGCAGTTGGAATGAAAATAGTAATGGATGTTTTTTTATTGTTTATATGGACACGCATGGGGAGTGAAATAAAAAAATGTGCTGGTGAATTCTGAAATTGGATTGAGTGGTCTCGTTATAAGAAATAAACTAACAGAGGTAATATCCTTGATTTAGTGTACAACATGTACTTTAAGGCATGAATACAGGGCTGTACCATGCTTGTGGTTCTCTAGAGGCGAAATATAATGCTTTAAAAGGAGGTGAGGAAAGACAGTTTTCACCCTGAAAAGCAATACAAATATGATACTTTTGCTTCTATAAGAGGGGAACTTAATTATCTTGAATATGTGGCGCATATCGACATACTCAGAAATTCTCAAAATGGGCTAGCTATACTAAAGTGTTGAAAGTTCAAATCCCCAAATATTTCTTTAAATTGAGCTCCAACAAAAATAAAGGTGTTGATGCTTCAAAGATAATATATGATGTCCTTTATGATTTCCTCGATAAACTATATCATTCCCTCTTTTTTACACTCATCCAAACTGCCTGTGTATATATATTTAGTAGGTATGTTGTGTGCTTGGTTTTCATAGCAATAAGTGTTTAGGTTATTTAAACAGAAAATAGAATACTAAAAAAGCACTCTTTTTTAATCACCATATTATTGTTCTCTTTCTAGGCACTTAAAATGTACACGTATATTCTGAATGTACTATTGGGGTTCTTCACGTTTCTCCACCCAATCATTTGTAGTGCCAGGCTGTCTATGGAAAAAAGTCCTGATCCACAGCAGGTCACCAACATCACGCTAGCGCTCATCCTAGGTTGGTTAATAAGCTTCTTCGACACCCTGTTTGTATCACATTCTTTCACGTTGGGCAGCCTATATCTCCTTGCGCGCACGGTTTTCTGTATGTACCTTTCGCATCCATCCCTTCTTGGTGCGTTGAAAATACATGAAACATTTTTGGCCCCACTATTCGACGCTTACGCCCCCTCCGTTGATGATTTGGTGGTGCAGCACATCGATGCCATGGCTAAGTCTGGTGTAAAGGACTACACAATCGAAATGGGTATGTCTCTTTTTAACAATGTTTTTAGGACAGACGGTATTGCATGCGAATTATTAGGGCCGATGACGGCTTCGGCAGTACCTAAAGTCTCTCCACAGCAGAGGGGCTCACGTCAGCATGAAGACGATCTCGACAAACTCAGTGCCATCGCGAGTAAAACTACAAGACGGTAATAGGTATGCCTAGCGACTATATTGAGAATATACATTCATTTATACTATATACCGGCATTAACATCAAATGTGACGATCTTTTTATTTTTTCTGGATGACCCCATTCTGATCTCAAACACTATATGCAAAGACAATAATACAGACAAAAAAATTTTATTAGTGTAGAGAAAGAGCTCTGGAAAAAGAAACTCTGCAGTTGTACGGAGTTATAATAAAAAGCACCCAAATCAACTAGGATGTTGTAACAAAATCTGAATTAGCTTGCAAAAATCCTTTAAATGATTGTTCCCATATTACGCTATCCCAAAAGCATGTGGGGGTTGTAGTGCGGTTCATGGCGTATGGAGCTTTACTGGATTACATAATCAAAAAAGGAAAGTGACTGAAGTGCATGTTAATTATGTTCTTTTAATCCCACTCTATCTATTTTTATTTTGGTATGTGTATGTTGTTGTTGTTTTACGTTGATTGGTATTAAAATGATGCATGTGAAAGAAAGTGTTTGTATGTCACTCTACAGTTTTCTCCATGTTATTCTTTTGCTCTGGATAGCATAATTTTCGTAAGTTTTGCTGTTGAGTTTCTTTACTTTTTTGCTTCTCATGTGCTAAGACCTTCATCTTGTTTTTTCTCAATGATATTTAACCTAAAAGTAGTCCATAGTAATTTTTGAATACATAAAGCGTAAAAAAAAATCGACCCATTTGATTGCTGAATAGACAAAATTCTGAGTGATAAAAAAAAGGGGGGGGTGACATGTTGAGTACACGTGGCGCTATTACCACCAATGTGGCCATGTTTGAATGCGCCAGCGGACAAAGTGTGGCTAATAGGCAGGTTTTTTTGCTTAGTGAGCTAGAGAAGACTTGGGTGTCCGTCTCCGTTATTCTGCGGCGCTTGCTGATTGAGGGAAAGGATGTGAAAATTGATAATTTTGGATCCTTCTGGATGGAGAACCATCTTTGCTTGATGGATCCCATCTACCACGAACGCTATTATGTGCGGAAGCTGTGCTTTGGCATGAATGCCAAGTTTGTGAATCAATACGGTATCGATGACTACAAGGTCCCTTTGGAGAAGCCCAACCGACGACTGCACAAGCTCCACGCCGCGGATGTTGTGCGGCTTTGTGCCATCCCAGCGCGCACCGTCACGATGGCCCTGCAGGAGTTCTACCGTTACATCGGGGAGGGGCTCCACTGCGGCCGCGTCTTCAGTCTGTACTTTCCCGGGGTGGCTACAGTCGTCCTGAAGAAGGAGCGAATGATGCTGACCCTGGACTCGGAACTGGAGAAGGAGCTCTTCGACCTCGACTCCCGGCGGTGGCCGCCGGAGAAGCGGCTGGCGGGGGCGGAGCGGCTGGCGGCCGGCAAACGCCGTGCGTCGGGGTCGCGGTCCGTGGCCTCCGGCCGGCCCTGCGCACGGCCACCCGCCCACCCCACGGAGCTGCGGCCGGTGTTTATTCCGGCCGCCCCCACCGGGCGTTTGTTCTCCGACATCGAAAAGGACGCTGAACGACGGCGGAAGACGCTCCAAGAAAAAGATGAGCTGCAGCAAGAAACAAGGCGGCTACGCGATGACGAGGTGGCGGCGGGGTATAAAGACGTCCAGACGAGGCTGCATCAGGCTGAGATCGAGACCTACCGCACGACAACGACAACGCGCGAGTCGGTCTACGACATCGTCGAAACCGAATCCCCCAGAGCCGAGGAACCAGAGATCGAGGCTGTGGAGGAGATTCCAGTAGAGAATGAGCCCGACACGGAGGCAACAAGCGGCAGATTCCTCGGCCTCAAGAACGCGGAGCTTGAGGCAATACTGATCAAGGAAGAGCCCTTCAGTCGCCCTACATCTCGTTTAACCTTTCATGATCCTAATTCTGCCCGAGATCTCATCTACGGGGGAGGGAAAACGGCGGCAACACGTCTGAACGAGCCTGAAATGCACTACGGTCGAAAACGCTTTGATAGTAATCTTCATGATGTCGATAGAGTTGGCTCCTTATTAAAGGGGGTTAGCTAACTCAATGTGGTCTATTTACGTGCTCGCTTCGAACTTTATAGACTTCTTTTTTTTTTTTAAGTAGAAAAAAGATGCGCATGCTTGGTAAGATCGATAGTCTTACTTATCTCTAAATACATCAATACGTTAACCTTATCTCAAAAAACTAGCTGGTAAAACTGCATTTGGGTGAGATAGCTTTACATATACTTCGTACAGAATTCCTATATGGTACACATGCAATGATAGATCAAAATAATTTCTGACAGTTAAGCAAATTCAGACACATATCATTCCTAAGGGTACTTCCCATAATTCATGTCTAGCTTATGTCCTAATAAAAAGATACAGTGTTTCTTTGTTGTTGTTGTTGTTCACAGCAGAAAAGGAAAGAATAAATTACCGTTCGCTGAACGCAAAAACTCACCATACGAACGATTAGCTGTGCATATGTTTCTTCACAATGCACAACGTCTCACATATAACCCGGAAACTCCGGATGGGCGCGACGGTGCGTCTAGCAACTGCTGTCTTGGGACATCCCAACGCCGCCGTCAGGAACGGTGCAGCTCCTCACCAACTTTTGTGGAAAGGAATAACATAGATGTAAAAAACACCACGCGTAGTGAACTGTCTCTTGTAGAAGAACGCTTGATGATAATCAAACGAAATCGCGCTAGCTCACAGAGTTCCGTCAGCCCTTCGGCGTCGCCAGCTGTGCGGGTAGATGTGCCGCCGTGTGAAGCCTATCCGACATTCAACCTCTCGAAGCCTTCTGAGCTGGAGCAAAAAACCCTTGAGACGCTGGTGACAGAATGTATGAACACACTTTTCTTCCCTAAACACTAAGTCATATATAATCAAATTTAACCCAATCGGGGAAGTTGAAACCTGGGTAAGATGGATATTGCGGTTAATAACTTGCTTTATATTCTAGTAATAGAGGAAAAAACAATTTACACTCATAAAGGAGAAAGACTCATTGTCCTTTCTTGACTTACTTTGATCTTCTTTGAGATACAGTGATAACCTTCTCTATCATCTTTACTTTTCTCTTTTATTACGCAAAAGAAAGAGAAGCAAGTGTTTTCTAGTTAACCAATATTCTAATTGTACTTGTCTCTTCTTTGGTGACTATTACTTCCACACTTTTGTTGTGTTTTTGTTATTGTTCGCACTCCGGATGCCGCAGAACGAGTACATTGAGCAAGCACAAAAGCGCTTCGGGCGTCGTCTGGACCATGTAGAACGCACGCGCAAACGCGAGGCCCGTAAAGCGCATGTAGAGGCCGCATATTTGAAACAAGTTCGTGGGATCAAAGCGAAGATAGCGCAAAAGGCTCGCTATTCAGAAAAGGCAGCCATTCGCAAAAAGATTCGTGAACACGAAGAGAAGCAAACCACAGAACGCGTTAAGGAAAAGGGCCCGAAGAATGCCCTGCCAAGCTTTCTGATGGATCGTAGTGAGGCGGACCGCGCCAAGATACTGTCTAACTCACTCAAACAAAAACGAAAAGAAAAGGCGGGAAAGTGGGCAGTACCCATTGAAAAGGTGAAACCTGTTTCAGAGGATGAAATGCTCAAGGCGGTCACCTCTGGCAAGCGTGGCAAGAAATCGTGGAAAAGGCTTGTTAACAAGGTGACTTTTGTGGGTGAAACGTTCACGCGGCGTATGCCTAAGACCGAGCGCTTCATTCGCCCCATGGCCTTGCGCTTTAAGAAAGCCCATGTGACCCACCCAGAGCTTAAAGCGACCTTTTATCTGCCTATTATTGCTGTAAAAAAGAACCCACAAGGTAAGATGTACACAGGGTTGGGGGTTATTACGAAAGGATCGGTAATAGAGGTTAACGTGTCAGAGCTTGGCTTGGTAACGCCATCCGGAAAGGTAGTATGGGGAAAGTACGCGCAGGTTACGAACAACCCAGAGAATGATGGTTGCATTAACGCAGTTTTGCTTGTATAAAAGGGGCAAACAAACTCATCTAGTGATGTCTTTTTTTCTTGCTGCTACGACATCTAGAGGCTGGCCCATACATCCTTCGCCTTATCGTTTAAGGTTAACAATATGAAGTCATGTCATTGATGAAAGGAAATAGAGGGAGATGATTTACTTGGACGGGAAGAAGTAAACGAATATCTAATAGTTTTGATTTTATTGCAGGTCAAAACGTCGAGTAAATGTTGTGTTAATGTTCTGCTTCTTTCAATTCATTTTCATATATGATGACGTGTAAATAACTATTCTGCAGATTAAATATTGGTGAATAAAGTGTTTATTTAACGTTTAATATATATTATATATCTATATTGAAAGAGATATAGATATATTAGCATCTATGAATTGGAAAATATTTTTTATATCCTACTCCTGGACAATAAAATTTCAATATAATTTTTTCCCTGTTCTCCTTACTTTCCCTCTCTTTAGTGGGCTCAGATTGTTTTCCTTTAGACAATATCATTTTAAAAGGAGTAGTCTCATTAATTTTTCATCACCATCAATATTATAAAAAAAAGGCGAATAACAGTTTTACTCATCAAAACTTGCCCTGACAGTTGTAATTTTAAAAAAACATCATTATATATAATAGTGTTTTTAATTAATTAAAATCTATTTTTTCCCCTCAACATAATTATACAAATCCTAGCCTGGGGTATTACAACTAAAGTAAAGCAGTCAGAAAAGGCTCTCAAGTGAGCCGATTCCCTCTTTCTGCACCCTTTTTGCTTTAAATAAGTTGAATACAAACAATAACCCTAGTGATAGCGGGAAACGTGAATCATTCACAACAATAAAAAATGATTATGCATAGTAGTGTTTTCTTAAATGAAAGCAACAATGAGGACCCCTGCAATGCGGTAATTTACTCAGTTATACCATATGAAAAGAATAAATCCCTTCTGATAACAGGACCCGATGCCCCAAGCACGCCCATGTCAACAACAATAAGCGTCTCATCGCCATCCATGACGAAAATGCCGCCTATCGAGTTACCCTCGAACAATATTTTAAGTTCTAATCGTCTGGGTAGCAACCACGATGAGGCGCTAATGGAAATTCACTCCGTTCAATCTTCACGTATTGTCAAATCAACTCCCTACAGCACCATCAAAACCACGAAGTCCCAAGAGTCTCCCTGTATTAGTAAGCAAGTAGATGTTGAAATAGACAACGAAAGCGACTTCGACGACTTTACTCTGGCATCTAGCAACACGGCGCACGTGATGACGTTTCAGTCCTTGTCAGCTCTTCAGGCCGAAACACAAGTCAGTGGGGATAGTTGCTCCAGCACAGCTGTAGATCCCATGGGAGACGTGGTGAGTTTCGTATCCTTTCGTCGTCCCAATTATAGGTGCTGTCGGGTATGTCATAGCAACTTACCCTCTGCAGCAAATTTCTGCCCTCAATGCGGCTCCACGGTGGAGCCGCAAAGCGAGCGATCAGGCTTCAACACAGAAGTCGAAAGCTCATTTTCTAGTGCACTTGTTTCTCCTAGTTTGGGTCGGGATCCATGCTGCAGCTTCACCGCAACGCCTTTGACCCCTTCGCGGGATGTTGACTTCGTTTCAGAACATAGTATGTACCATCGACGAGTGTACCTCCGCCAGGTGCTTGTTCTTTACCGTCATGAGAATGGAATGCTAGGTTGTGGAACCAATGGAGCTGTATACAAAGCAATCGACATTGTCAGTGGACAACCGCTTGCCGTAAAGGAAATGTACATTGACCTACAAAATAAGTCAGAGATCATTGCCATCCGAAATGAGCTGCGCCATCTGTCTCATCTTCGTCACCCCAAAGTTATTGAGTATTACGGGTGCTCAATCCAGCGCACAACACCCAAGTCAAGTATTCTGACACCCAAATATCCCTTAGACACCACAGGGTTGCCAAAGAATAGTAGCGAGACCATTCGGGTGTATATCTTGATGGAGCGAATGGAGTGTGGGTCGTTGCAGGAGCTTCTAAAGGACCTACCGGACGGCTTCCCAGAGCGCACCGTTCGCGTGTATGCCGCGCAACTCCTGGAGGCTATCCACTACGTCCACCAGTGTGACATCTCGCACTGTGACATCAAGCCCTCCAACCTCCTCCTGGCCTCGGACGGGACAATAAAGCTGGCCGACTTTGGCTGCGCCAAGATGAAGGCCGCGCATCATCCGAACAGTCAGTCGTCGGACCGGGAGCTGGCGGGAACCCCTGTGTACATGCCGCCGGAGACTCTTCTGAACCTGAAGATGGAAAACGTGGACTGGGTGTCCCTTGGGCAGGCGCAGGACATCTGGGCCATCGGGTGCGTGGTTTATCAGCTCCTTACGGGAAAAACACCATGGGTGTTCACAAAAATATCCAGTCCCTTTGCACTTCTTTCCTATATTCAAACCCACCCAGAGTTTCCCCTTAGTGATGAGCTTTCACCATGCGCGCTGGACTTTTGTCGGCTCTGTCTAGAACTCAATCCATGCACTCGAGTTAAAAACATGGACAAAATTCTTGCGAGCCCTTTTGTTTCCAATGCAATTGAGCCCTCTCAGTGGTGATAAGAACAAATCTGGGAACAACACCCTTCTATACTGAAATTGATTTAGGAAAACATGCATATCCTTGAACGATATGAATTACCTCACTCTACATGGCGTACTTATTGTGTGCTTATCTCTTTGAGATCGCTTTCGACCTTTATCTTATACATTTTTGCTTCTTTTTGACAAATTAAAGTCATTAAATCAGTTGTTTTTTAGAAAAACTAAATGACAAATCTCATATCACTGAGTGTGAATTATGTTAATAAAAGATAAATAGTATTTTTACTATACGTCACAAATGCTCAATACACCTTTGACTTCATCGGAGTATATACATTCATATATATATATATATATGTTTGTGTGTGTGTGTGTGTCGTAATGGACTGTTTTTTATATCGCGAAATGTATTTTATTTACATTAGCTTTTTTTAGTTTAAAAGACAAATCGGAAAGTCATGTACTGATATTAATGCATAATGCTACCATTGTTGTATAGTTATTTAATCCTTTAAGCAGCAATCGAGTTTCCGTTACATGTACTCTGTGAAAAGATACTGTGAATTCTAAACAGTGCAGCAAATAGTTTAACACCATTGTATTAGATTTAAAAAAATTCCACAACTCTCTCTTTTGTGCTATTAATTATAATTGAAACCATATATATATATATATATATATATAGCGAATATCGCTTGCATATATACCTGTCACCTGTAATCATACCCGTACCTATTCATATTTCAACCACATTTTTATAGTATCATCCTATACTTATATATTAATATAGGTAGGTGGATGTGTGTATTTATATACAAGTAGGGGGAATGATAAGACCCCGAAAAAAACATTTATACAATGAAATTTAAAATACAGGATCCAAAAACCATACATTTGTCTTAAAGGGGTAAATAGTTTAAAAATGATCATCAAACAAAATGACCTTTATAAAACTTCCATTACCCTTCCTAATTTCGATATGATGCTCTTCTGTCAAAAGAACAATTTTAACTTATCTACTCTGCTTTTCTTTGCTTCTATCGATCTTAAGTGCATCCCAAATAAGCTTAAATTAGAAAACACTAGAAAAGGAAGTTAAGAAAACAGCAATACAACGCAATTGATTAATTTATTTACCAAAAGGAAATGAATTCTGAGATAAAGACTATTTACAATGCTCTTCCAAATCTACCTGGCTTCAACTTTTCAGAGCTTCATGAACCTGCTAGCCACGGCCTCCACCACCATTGTATACTATCGAAGGAAGGTACCCGTGTGGTCCTCAACAAAAATAATTCTGCAGTCTCTCATGAGCCTCTCAGTGGTTGTGGGATCCCCGTTCGTACTATCCTAGACAAATTTCCCATGTGGAAGACACTTGATGATAAAGTCATTCGATTTTTTGGTTATTATATCGATGAGATCAGCAACAGCTCACTGGAGAGTGGAGTGTGCGTTCGTAAGGTTAAACTTCACTATTATTTAGCGGACGGCACGCTTGCGATCATCGAAACTCCGTCTAGCATCAACAGTGGACTGCGCAAAGGTACAACCGCATCACGCTTTAAGCCTGAAAACGTAGATGTGTTCAGTTTTTGTATTGACGGCTCCATCACGACCCGCGGTATCACTTATAAACTTGTTGACTGTGATGCAGCGACCAGAGAGTTTTACGACGTCATGGGGATGCCGCAACCAGAGCAGCCTCTAGGCTATCCATTTGATAGCTTTGAAGCACCAAAATACCTCCCGAGCGCTACCGTCAATGAGGAGAATATTGCGATGCGCAGAGTTTTCGAGGCCCAGGCGGCTATCATCACCGGCACACATCCCAGCCTCCTGTCTAAGGAAGAACGTGAAAGGGCCCACAGCTACTACGCGAACGACGGGAAGGTTCTGCGGTATTTCGCGGTCTGGGAAAAGCGTCTATTCCGAATTCATTATTATCTCGCTGATGGCTCAATTTCGGTCATGTTTGATACTATTGATAATGATGGACGGGATCGAAATCGTGTCTTTATTCGCCGCACTTGTATCCCAAAGAACTTCAAAACGGTGCTACTGCAAACCGAAACCCTGAACCGGCCTCGAGGTGTGGAAACCTCCAAATACATCAGCGCTGAAGACCTTCGCACGGGAACAACGGTAGACCTCTTCACACGACAGTTTTTTATTTTCGACTGTGATTCATACACGCGAAACTACATGAAGAAACACTATGAAATGGAGTTGCCTGTCCACGAATGCCCCCCAACGGAAATGGGCGATATACTGTTAAAAAAAGAAAAAACTGGCTCTCCTAGTAGGTCCTCTAACTGGTACGATGCAACGAAGGCCCTGGAGCCCAATCAAAGCTTCGGTGCGTCGGCGATGATGTTTGGAGACAGTCAAAGGGAAATGAACACTCTGAAGCTAACCCGGCTTGCTCATGATGTCTTCCGCTTTTTGGCGCGCATCGTCAACCCCCACCCGTCAGACAAGGATCGTAAATTCATCATTAGCTACTACCTCGCGGACGACACCGTGTCGGTGTTCGAGTTGGTGATTCGGAACTCCGGCCACGTGGGCGGGAAAATCTTCGCTCGCCGCGGCGTAGAAGGGGTGGAGAACCCTAGAAAACTTCAGGTGGGCCACACCATCCGCTTGGATGGCGTTGAATACCTGCTGGAGGAGATGGACCAGCGTACGCAAAACTACATCGAGGCCGGGATGTTGGACCGCATGGACGATGCCTACTATCAGATGGACGAAATCATCGCGACGATGCGGCAACACGTCTTGCAGCAGTTTTCGAGCACCACGGAGGCGTATCGCCACTATGCGTCTTCTCGAATCAATGGCCTGACGGCTGAAAACGTGAAGGAGATCTTCAGCGATAGTGATGTCCGCCTAGACGACGCGCTACTGGAGAAAGTTATGGACCGAGTGGACTCCGACCATGACGGGTGGATCTCGCTCGCCGACTTTACGGAGCATCTGCTGGGTCAGAAGTTGATATCCGATTTCCAGCCAGGGCACACTTTTGCGGCCCGGGTTGAAGAGGGTCTCGATACTCAACTCAATATCCCGATCCTAAGAGGTCCGATTCAGAGCGCCACGTCGATAGCACAGCTCGCCAACACAAACGCGGCAGCGGCCGCCGCGTTTCGCAAGTTTATTGCTGTAATGGAAGCGCGGCGCACATTGTTAATACGTACGTTCAGAAACGTTGCAACTGGTACATACGATGGGAATTTGGGGATGGACGACGTCAAAGACTGCTTGACAACTCGTCTGAAAGTTCCCCTTTCTGATGAAGAGCTAAATGCACTACTCTACAAATTTTTTTACATCCCAACCATACCCAATTGGACGGCGCGGCGGCTTACCGTCAACGAAGTTCAGCAGCTTATCCGCCTTTAATAAGACATATCCATTTGTTACGAGCCTTTGTGCAGAAACGCTTCCTTAATAACACAAATTCACTGATGACACACATCGTGCGACATGTAAAAAGATCATTCCCCCTTTGATAATATTCGTTACGTATTGATTTTGATGTAAATGTCAATACTTTTTCAATTTTTTCCTATGCAAGTTGTAATTGTCGTCTTCAGGGAAATGTCATTATTTACTAAAATTTTCCTTTAAATCGGACGTGATATGTAAATTTATATAGATGCTCATACATTTTTTTTTTGCTCCTGCTCCGGACAATCCCACTGTCAACTCTATATCCATATTGTTTAAGATTATTTTTGACCAGCGATGGTAAACAAAAATGCCAACGGCAATGCGAAAAAGGAAATCAAGCAGCTTTCCCATCCACGCGACCGACGCGTCCGACAACTAGAAAAAAAAAGGAAACGCAACGAGCGCCTAGTTAAAAATAAAAGCAAGATCAAGGCTGGTGATGCACAAAAGGTGGCGCGCTTTTTTTGGTTCCGCGAGCAGTGTAAAGCTCTTGGGTGCACCCAAGAGCCAATCTCCTCAGACGAAATGTTGTCCCTGATGCAGCTTTACATCAATCGAAACCAAAAGGAAATTAGAGAACTCATGTCGTTGCGCAATCCACCCCATGGACGCATTCGACAATTGGAAGCGATGTTGGAGGCTGAAATGGAAGCGTTTCGATCCACAAAAGGCGTTGCCATTCCTTCCTTGGCGAACGTAGACGATATAGAAATTCTGACCGAAATTTGGGACGGACAAACAGAAACAGCGGTGGTGGTGCCAGTAAACTATCTTTCACTGGGGCCGAAAGTGATTAATGAAAGTAAACTGCAAGCGCTAGAGGCACGCATAAAAAGTATTGATGCGGTACGGCAAGAGGGAATGTCGATTCTGCCGAAACTCTTCAAACACAACGTAAAAACGAAAAAAACAGAAAAAAAGTCAGTCAAGCGTCTTGTAACCACACCCGAGGAATTGCAGAGGCGCAGCATCTTGAAATCGAGAAAAATGCAAGAGAAGAAACAAAGCACAGTACGTGAAGCCCTCCTCCGGGAGCGGCGCGGTAACTAAAGTTGTGTGATAAATAACGTAAATACGCCTGTAATGAAAAAAAAAAAGACTACGTCAGTGAATCTCTGAATCTGTGTTCCCTGAAATGCGGGTGGTGGACTCTTTCCCCATATCGAAATCACACGCCAACATCCTTTCATCCCCTTCATCATCCCCAAGTGTACGAAAGAAAAAAAGATAGCACCGGTTGGTTTCGATCCAACGACCTATGGGTTATGAGCCCATCGCGCTTCCACTGCGCTACGGTGCTGCTGAGCATAGCCTTTATTAGGGGCAATCCAATTATAGAAAGGCAAAATACTCTGAGACTCTCGAGTGAAAGAGGTCGCTTGGTCTAGTGGTATGATTCCTGTTTTGGGTACAGGAGGTCACGGGTTCAATTCCCGTAGCGACCCTTTTTAAGTTAGCCTTCATTAGGGGACTTTGAACCATGGCAAAAAAGGCAGGACCCACCCGGGTTTGAACCGGGGACCATTCGGACTGCAGCCGAACGCTCTACCACTGAGCTATGAATCCGTTGAGCCGGAATTGCTCTATTTTAGAAAACTAGCTGACAAATTGTTGAATTAGTTGTTGAAATTTAAACATTTGTGAAATATGACTACCCGTCGGTATGGATTTGCATCGCCGCTTCGACTTTTACTAAGCGGCGCAGCCAAACTTCTTAATAAATTTTGGGCCCTTTGGGCTTAATCGCCGTCAAAAAAGGATAGCTAGATGATCACCGGCCACGTTGGAAGGTGAGATGGTCGAGTGGTCTAAGACGTTGGATTAAGGTTCCAATCCTTTCGAGGGCGTGGGTTCAAACCCCACTCTCATCACTTTTTGCTTTCACACATGTTCGGTGGAATACTTCAGAGGGATTTTGAAAAAGTAATAACGTCGCCGGATCTTTCATTTTCGAACATCATAAAAATTCGAATATCATTCAACCTATTAAATGAATTTTTTTTTCCAATCATAAAAAACAAATAAATCAGGCACATTGACATTTACTATGAAATCTAAAACCAATCAAAAATTTTTTAACCCCCATCATAATTTAGGAATACCGGCAATCAACCCCCAAAACAGTTTACTAACATATTTCATTTATTATATCGAATAATCACCTCCAATCTTGTATTTAAATATTAATCGTTCATTGAGGTTATAGATTCTGAATTAAACGGAACTCACTTCACCCAATGGTGTGGACATTTACTGGGATTCACCACGCGCCGAATATGTAGAATAATATTCTTTTTTTTTTTCATACTTAATATATTTTTTTATAATAATAATCTTAACCCCTATTTGTTTTAAAATTTTTTTAATCTTTATTATTTTTAGCCAAATAATTAGAAAATAAGACCAAAAGATTAATTTCTTTGATTTGTATATTTAAAAATGGAAAAGTTGGGTAAACTTTATT